TTTTTTTATATAAGTAATTATGCCGTCTAACAAACTTACAGAATAATTTGTTGGATTTAGAGATTTACATATTGTGATTGAATATTGCTAAGAAAATTGTAAAAAGTGTAGTAATTCAGATTAATGCGAAGATTGTGAAAATGGGCTTTTATTGTTTGAGAATAAATGTATAGATAAATGTCCTGAAAATTATTTCGAGTAAAATAATAAATGTGTTATTTGTGATGATTCTTTTTAATGTAAAAGGTGTATTAAATAAGGATTTAATTAATGCTAAAAATGTGATAAAATTATAAAAATTTTATCGGATTAATGTCGCTGAAATTTATATATATTTTATTTTATATTATATAATTTTTTTTGATATTTTTAATTTAATAAATAATATTTGGATAAATACATTTTTTTTATTTTATCGTTCGAAATTTTATTGTATTAAATAATATTCAAGTTATCTTCTATTTTAATTTTAATTATATAAATAACTGTAGTTTTATTAATGTTATTTAATTTTTTAAAATATTTCTTTTATTTAGATTTTTAATAATTTTTTTTTATATAATTTTGGTTTTATTTTATGGAAAAAAAATAATTTTTTATTTTTAATATGTTATATTTATTTTTTGTATTTATAATTAATTTATAACTTTTTTTTATATAAGTCATAAAATTTTAAGAATCTTAATAGATAACTTCTTTGAATAAATATTTTTAAAATTAAAAAATATAGGAAGAAATAAGTAAAAAAAATAATATTAAATAATTTTTGCATATTATTTAAAACATCATTAACTTATCTTATTAATATAAAATTTAACTATAAATGCATTTTTGAATAATTGTATATTAATTATTAAAATATATCTGATAAAGTTATAATATGATAAAATTATTTTTTAAAATTATAGATATATATATAATAAAAGATAAAATAAATATTTAATATTTAAATTTTTATATTAATTAAATTATTGATATAAAAAAAAAAATATAAAATATATTGATTATATCAAAATTTTTATGTTTTTTTCAAAATAATAAAAAATAAAAAGATAATAAAAGCTAATATTTTAAAAATAATTATAATTATAAATAGTTAAAATTTATTTATATATAAATTTATATAAAGAAATGCATAAAATATTAAACTTTAAATTAAAAGATATTATTTTATATTTAAAAATTTTTATTATCTATTAATTAACATATTTCAATTTTTTTGTTTTATTGTAAAAAATTATATTTATATATTTTAAAATTTAAAAACCTATTTTATAATTATTAAGAAGTTATTAATTTATTTTTTTATAAAATAAAATAAATCTTCTAAAAATTAAAAATTTTGTATTTTATATTTTCTATCACTATTTACAATAAAAAATTACTTTTCTATTGTAATAATCCATATCTTTTAAAATAAAAAAAAATAAAAAAATATGTTTAATCAACTTCAACATTAAGAAATCCATCAAAAAGAAATAAAATTACCCTTACTATCCCAAACATTAAAAAATTTAAACATCGACCCCCATGACCCAAATTGGCGTTAAAATCTACGTGAAAAACGCCAAAATAAAGTCCCATAATTTCCCCCAATGTAAAACTCTACATTACTAAATGTATTTAAAAACGAGTAAATATCTCATCTACCAATCTGGGTAATGCGTTAAGCAGGTCGTTATCTTCCTGAATTTCGTTAAATTAGATAAGATTGGTCTTTTTTTGATTTATGTGATAATCCTTTATTGGCTACAGAAGTAACTTTATAGCCATTATAGAGATTTGAAATGGATGCTGGTATCATTTTTAGTGATATTTTAGTAGTCCCTAAAGTAATGGGAATGGAGGTTGTTATGGAGGAAAAAAAGGGACCTGTATTACCTTAACCATTATTAGATCCTTCGCATTTAGAAAGATTAAAAATCCCAAACATTGAAGATTTAGGAGATGTTTATGATGCTATATATTTATTTAGATAAGCTGTAGACGGTACAGTATCAACTATAGGTATTTAAATATATGTATTTAAATATTTATATTTAAAATATAGGTTTCGCAGGCGCTCCATGGACTTTAATGTGTTATATGATAGAAGGTAGTGGAAGTAAATTATATTCAAAAGTAAAAAAATGGATATATAAATGGCCTTAAGAGAGTAAATAATTACTTCAAATGATCACTGATGTTCTTATTGATTATTTATCATCGTAAATAGAGTCAGGAGCTTAAGTTGTGTAAATTTTTGATTCTTGGGCTGGAGAATTAAGTACTTAGGATTATTAAGAGTTTGGTTTATAATATTGTGTATAAATAGGAAATAATCTGAAGGAAAAACACCCGGATTGTAATATTATTATATTCGCTAAAGGACAGCATTCCGAATTAGTTTTTTAATAAAAATGTTTCGATTGTATAGGAGTAGATTATGCTTTTGATTTAGAAAAAGCAGTGTAATATGGAAAATAATATAATAAAATAATTTAAGGAAACCTAGATCCGGGTGTTTTAATGGGCAATAAAGAAACTATAGTGTAGAAAACTAGAGATATGATAGATAAAGTAGGTGTTAATAAATATATTGTTAATTTAGGGCATGGTATGTGGCCGGAACATGATTTGAATAATTTAAAAATTTTCGTAGATGAAACTCATGAGTATTCGAAAAAACTAATATAAAAATAAAAAAATTAATGATAATTTTGTAAAAAATTAATTATATATAAAAATAAAAACAAAATTAAATATATATTTAAATATATATAAAATAATAAATTCATATTTTATTTATTTTTATTTTTAAAATAAAAAATTATAATTAATATATTTATTTATAAATAAAAAAAAGATATTGTTTTTTTTATAAAAATAAATAAATAAATATTAAATAGATAAAAAAAAATTATTAAAAAAAAAAATAATTATATAAAATATTAATATATTTATATTCATATTTATACATAAAAACATATTAAAACTTATCAAACAAAATAATTATAATATTATATTACAATTATATATTTCTATTTATACATGAACTTAGAATTATAATTAGAATCAAATAATTTAAATCTCTAAGAAGTAATAGTAAAATCCCCAAAAATAAAAATAAAAAGAATAAATAAAACAATCGAAGACACTAAAATATTACTTTGGAAAAATTATCTTATATATAAACGTAGCAATCTGCCTATATTATTTCTATCAATAGGTCCTTTATTTATTTGTATAATAATATCATATTTTCAACATTATTCAACAATCCATTACGATAAGTTTATTCCATATCCAACCGTTCATAATATATCAACACTACTTCCTTGCGAATATTTCGATTCTGACCCCGATTGTGTAACTTTAGCTTACGGAATAATCGGCAAGAGAGAAAAATGGGTCCAAAATACTTTAAATTATATTGAAAAAATAAACCATTGGGACAAAAAAAAACACTTAATTGATATATTTTCTGCCCAAAACGGTCTTTAATACTAATAAAAATTTTAAAACTACTTTAATAAAACCGAAAACTTAGATAAATTACACTATACTGTGATTTTCTGTACTGACTCATATATATTAATGAAAAACAATACACATATATACGAATATTAATGTTAATAAAGTGAAAAAAAGCAAACTTTTTTTTATTTTTTTCAATTTAATAATTCGATGGCGGTTTTCGATATGGATAAAAGCTCGAATTATCCATTTATAAAAGATCCTTTATTATTAACTTTGAAATTATAAATAGATAATTTTTTGGTTAATTTTATAAATGAAAAAAATTATATTAATTCCAATTCTTTTTTTGAAAATAATTGGTAAGTTTTTCCATATGTGCCTTCTAGATTTTTTACTGGCTTTAATATAATTTCATAAATGGGAGCTTTTTATTATTTCTTGATTCCCCTTTATTTATTTATACATATATAAGGAGAAATTATTACAGAAAAAGAATAAAAAATACTCTAAGGACTTTAAGTCTTCGGAGTCTCCTAAAAGTCCTTTTTTTTAAGCTGGTTTATTACAGCTTTTTTATTGTCCTTTTTACTCTCGTTTTTGTAAGTTTTTTTCTCGATTATTTTCAAGTTTTAGTTCTTTTAGTAAACACCTTTTATTATCAGTTTTGCACTTTTTTTTAACTTCTGTATATCGATGTAGGCTCTAGGATTATTTTTACAAAGCATTACTAAGACTAAGACTGAAAATTATCTGCTTTCCTTTGCTTTTGTGCTGTTTAGTGTCGTTATAGAGCTTTTTATATCACAAAAATCTTTAGTTTTGCCCTATATATATGGAATAAAAAGGAGCTTTTGGACATAAATTGCCACTTGGGTACTTTATTTATATTCTCCATTTAATTATAATGTGTCGTTTATGTTAATTTCGTTAAAGGCAGGTTACCATTTTGATGATTTGACTAATAGATGGTAAGAAGGAACTGGTTTTTATTGGAAAGATTTGTTTGAAGAATTTGAAGGTGAAATTAACGGGGAAAAATTCAAAGGTCCTAGTGTGTTTAAGATGATTTTTTTGCTTTAATTTTTGAGTTTTATTTTTTATGTTTTTTTGGCAATTTTTTTTGATGAAGATAATTTAGGACTATTTTTAAAAAAAGAATCATAAGAACTTTAAATATAATAAGAAAAAAAAAAAGACAATTAAAATATATAATAAAACAATCAAGTTAAAGGAATTCAAATAAAAAATATATCAAAAACCTACATAAATAAAAAAAAAAAAAATACAGCATTAAAAAATATAACATTAGAAATATAATAAAATGAACTTATGTGTATACTAGGACATAATGGAGCTGGAAAAACTACATTAATAAACATACTAAGTGGTTTATAAAAATATACAAGTGGCAAAATAAATATATGTGGTTATGATATAAATACATAAATATAAGAAATAAGGTAATATAAATATAAATATATATATATATATATATATATATATATATATATATATTTATATATATTTATTAATATATATTTATTTTACTATTATTATTATTATTATTTTTACAGGGAAAATTTAGGTGTTTGTCCTTAATTTGATGTTTTATGGGATTAATTAAGTCCTTTGGAACATTTAATGATTTTTGGTTTTATTAAAAATATATAGAATTTAGAAAATGTTGCTTGGTAAACTTTAAAGAAGGTTTCTTTAGAAAAGTAGGCTCATGTATAATCTAAGACACTTTCAGGAGGTATGAAAAGGAGATTATCGATTGCTATATGTAGTTAAGGTTAACCTAAGGTTATTTTCTTGGATGAGCCAACTACTGGAATGGATACGAAAATTAGAAGAGAGGTTTGGAAGTTAATATAGGAGATAAAAGAAGGGAAATCGATAATTTTGACCACTCATTCGATGGAAGAGGCTTAAGTTTTGTCTGATAGGATTAGTATATTGGTTCAAGGTGAACTAAAATGTATTGGTACCGGTTTAAATTTAAGAAATGAATATGGAGGAGGATATAAAGTACAAATTGTTATGAAAGACTAGATTATATGCAAAAACAACAGTAAGTGTTTTTTATGCATAGAGAGTTTTTTTTCTAAAAAAATAAAGAATTTAAAAACTTATGATAAAAACGAGAAAATGATAAATTTTATAGTGGATTAATAGGAAGATATAGTATATATTTTTTAGATTTTAGAAAATTAAAACGATGATAAATTACATTTTTTAAAAAATATTAAGTATTTTTCACTTTCTCATTCGACAATAGAGGATGTTTTTAGAAACATAACATAAAAATATTATAAAAATAATAATAATTTAAATTGAATTTATATGAAAAATATTTTATTATAAATATAAAATATTATAATAAATATATATATATTTATATATATAATAATAATATGAAAGAGAGTAAAATTTTTAAATTTGATTATTTTTAAAAAAAAGAATAATAAGATTAAAATATTGATACTTAATAAATAGTAAAAAGTGATACTTTAAAGACTATTCAAACATAAAATAATGATGATGATGAAGAATAAGAAATAAAATATAGTAAAAATTCTTCTAATCGAAACTCAAATCCTTTCTTATAAATATTATAATAATCTTAAAATAAATAAAATTTAATTCTAGATAAGTCATTTGATTAAATTATTTTTTAAGAAAATTAATTCCAAAAAAGTCCGAAATGTTCACTTTGTGATAATTTGTTTGGAAAACTCTCTCTTAGATAACATCATTGTAGATTTTGTGGACTTTCATGTTGCTAATTATGTTCGACTAAACGAATAAATAGCCTAAGAGTCTGTGATCTTTGCTTTTTATTAATTAGTGTCAAATATAAATAGAAAGATAATTAGTTTGTAGAAAGTCTAATTAGTTATGAAAATTAATAATAAAATCAATTAAATTTAATAAAAGATGTATATTCAAGTTAATAATAATAAGAAAATAAATAAATATAAAAAAAAGATATAAAATAAGTAAAATATAAAAATAAATATATATATATATATATATATATATATATATATATATATGTATATATATATATATATTATATTTATATATATATTTTATTTTATTCCTACTCACAATTTTTATTAGTCTTTTAATTTTTCATTAATTTATTACATATTTACATTATTAAATAAAATATTATTATAAAATTTTATAATTTTTTTATCACATATTTTACAAAATTTAATATAAATTAACCTATATTATTTATATAATATTTTTTTTATAGGAATAAAGCATATTAGAGTAAAACGAAAATCTATTATAATAATTAGAAATAAAAATTAATATATAAGATTAAAATTACGATAAAATATATAAAGAGGAATAAAATTTAAAGAAATTAATAAAAGAAAAGACTAGTCTTTTAGTAAATAAAAAAAACTTCTTAAACACAATTATGCTATGCTTTAAAGAGTTAAAGAAGATATAATTATGAAAGAATAAACTATAAATTAAAAATAAATAAAATTAAAATAAATAATATAAGAAGAAGAATAATAATAATAATAATAATTTTTCTAACTTAATAATGACGAAAGAGGAGAAGAATATAAAAATTCAATAATTCATAAATAAAATATTGCATAAGATAATAGTGTATGTGATATTATTATTAGAGAAGGCTCATAAGAAAACTATTATGCAAGAAATTATTCATAATTAATAAATTAAAATTACAATAAATAATAAATTTAAATTAAACCTAAAAATTATAATGTCGCACCAATTGATTAAACAGAAATATAATCATAATAATGCATAAGTAATTTAAAAATATAAAAATTATAAATAAGATAAATAAAAAAATTTAATAATAATAAAAAAACTTAATATAAATGGATATAAATAAAAATAATGTTTATTATAATATATATAATAATATATATATAAATAAATATATATATATATATATATATATAAATATATTATTTATATGTACATATAAATTTTTATATACATATAACTTATTTTTATATTTTTAATATATTTTTATTTTTATATAGTTTTTTGATTTGTCCATCAATTTTTATTTAATTTGTAAAAGTTTCATAAATATATATATATATATATATTTTATTTATTTATAAAAAATAATTAAATACATTAATATATATATATTTAATAATAAAAATATATTTATCAAAATAATTTTTATTAAAGAAATTCATCTACAAGAAATTCAAATATAAGATCTGATATTTCCATTAAGATTTCTGCCTTTTCATCTTCAAAAATTAGCCATTTGTATTCGTTTTCTTTTATATCTTTAAGTAACATTTACGAAAGTCTATCTTCAATAACTTAAGACAAATAATCATTATCAGGAGTCAATCTTTCTAATATATCATTTAAATCTAGCCCTTCTTATATTTTAGGAACACAAATATTATCATTTATTAAACCACATAGATTTGAAGACCATTATTTAATTTTTTATTTAGCTTTAGTTAGTCCTTATAAAATAGTTTTTTCATTTGTTAATTCTTTATAGACAATTTTTTCTGTTTTAGTCCAAGGATAAGGTTTACCTCCCATTTAATAAAATGGTCTTTATATATTTAAAGCTTCATTTAAGGAATCAAATAAAACTTTATTATGAATATATTAATATTCTTAAATTGTTTATAATTTAGAATCATCTTCATTTCCCTTTATTTTAATAAATAATATATATATATATATATATATATATATATATAAAAATATATATATTTATATATATATTATTATTTAATTTTTACAATAATATCATATTCAAAATCAATAAATATATCCTCATTTAAAACAAAGGGTAAATTAGCATAATTTTAATAAAATTCTGAATTTAATTAATCATATCCATGTATTAATCTTAATCTTTATTAAGGAAAAAAGCCGAAAAAAGTATTTAAATTTTATATAATTTCGTGTTTATGATTATCTAATTTTTAAAAATTAAAAAAAATAAATACAAAAATATATATATATAAATATATATCTATATATATATATATATATATATATATATATTTATATATACATATATTATAGTTATTTTTTATTTTTTTAATACTTTAAATATATTCAAATAATCTATCTACATATTAGTTTTATGTAAAAATATTTGTTGAAAATCCATTTTCGATATTTATAATTTAATTGACATTTTCTTCAGATAATTAATATTCTATTCTAGAATTTATTTATTCAAACAATTTCCATTTTTCTTTTATTTATTTTAATATTTCATTATTATCCTAAATTTTAATAAAAAAAATATATATATATAAATATACATTTGTTTATGTTTAATATATATATATATTATATATAGATAAATATTTATATATATATATATATATATATATATATATATAATTTATCATATTTACAATATAATTTTCTATAACTTGACCATTTTATTATAGTTAATTTAAACTTCCCTTACATAATTCCACTAATTTATTTCTTAAATTATTATTTACTTCTATATTTTCGTTAATTTAACTTTTTTATTCATTTTTTTATGTAAGTTAGGTTTTTAATAATTCTTTTTTTTTATTTTAAGATATATTAACATCATCAAAATCAACATCTATATCAACATCAACATTAACATCAGCATTATTATCAACTTCTCCTTCTACTATTTTCCCTCCAAAACTATTTTTAAATTCAAACTTGGAATTTTTTTTACATTTCTCAGCTAGCAATAAATCCCTTTAAGTTTAAATTATTATTTAAAGAGCTTTTGCTAATCCTCTTTTTAATGCTTTTTAACTTTTCAAGATTTCATCTTTTTCATGCTTAACCCATTTTTCAAGTAAAATTTTCTAATTATCATAAGTACGAGGTGAAATGTGGTTTGAATTTAATAATTTATTCATAGCTTTAATCTAAGATTATTAACGAATTTTAAGTGCTTATTCTCTTAAAAGAATAATTTAATTAATACTCTCTTAGGACATTAATTATTATATTTTTTTACTATTAAATTCCTTAAATGAATTTTAACAAAAAATAGAACTTGAAGAAGATTCATTTAATAAAGATGATTTACTATTATTATTATTATTATTATTATTATTATTATTATTATTTTTAATATTTTTATTATTACTATTATTAATTTTTATATTTTCATTATTTTACTTTTTTTTTTCTTTTTTATTATTCGTTTTTTCTTTCTTTAATAATTAATAAAGATTTTTTAATTCGTTTTTTATAGTTTTTATATCATCTGTTTTATTATTTTCATTTTCATTTTCATTTATATTTTCATTCTCATTCTCATTTTCATTTTCATTTTCATTTTCATTTTCGATTTAATTATTTAAACTATAATAATTATTATTAATATTTAAAAATTTATTCTATTATTATTTTATTTTTCTTTCTGAATTTATCTAATATATATAAATATATATATAGTTTATATTTTAAAATTTACTAAATTATTTATGTATAATTCAGATTAAGAAATTTCTTTTTAAACGACGAATTAAGCCGAATGTGATTTTTTATTTTTTTCTTTTTATTTTCTTCTATATAATATTATTCTTAATTATTTTATTATTTATTAATTTGTTATTCATTTACGATTTATAAATATTCTAATAATACTTATCTAGTAATATATCCTTTCCAAATTTTCTATATTTTAATAGCTGCTTAGTTCATTTAAAATAAACTCTTTTGGCTTTAATTATTTGAGATATTTTATTATTTTTTAATAAAAAGAAATCTCTATGATAATTAATTAAATTTATTTTTCGCATTTATAATTTCTGATTTTAATTTTGATTTTTCTTATATTTTTTTTTCGTTTTTTCTAAATTAAAAAATGCTTTTCGGCTTATTATTTGTATTTTTTATAGTCCTTTATGACAATTATAAATTATTTTATAATATTTATATATTTAAAGGACTTTTAGATATATTCAACTTACTATCAGATAAAGATTTACTCATTATATTTTTAAATTCCGAATATAATTAATTATAATCACTATCTATATTATTATATTATTAATTTTCCTATTTATTACTACTATTATTATTATATTTTTTGTTGCTCTTTTTCTAAAATTTTTTTTTCTTTTTTTGAATATTAATTAGTATGTGCTTAATATTAAATTCAAGATTTAAAATTTTCTATTTTTTTCTTTCTTCTTCATATTTTTTTGCTAATTTTTATTTAAAAAGAGTATTTTCGGTCATCTATTTTTTGTTTTCCATATATTAAATAACTTATAGTTTATTATTTTAGATATTTTCTTTGAAAATTTCATTATTTTAATAAACCGTTTTAATTTTATTTTTATATTCTTAAGAATGTTAAAAAAAATAAAAATATTAAATATGAATAAATAAAGATATATATATAAATAGATATATATATATATATATATATATATATATACATTAAACCATATTTTTTTATATTATTACAATTTAAAGTATCTAATCCAATTTATGATCTTCGAGTTTTATCATCTAGTTTATTTTTTTAATTATTTTTTTTTCTATAAATTCTTTAAAAATGAAATTGCGATATTACTCAATCTTTCTTAATTACAACCCCAAGGAAGTTTTTTAAACAGCTTAAAATTATTATTTTATTTCATGTTTTTAATTTCTTGATTAAAATTTGTAATTGATGATGTTTTGTTATGTTTTATCATTAAAGGTTATATTATTTAATTATCATTATTTTTATTTAATTATAATTATTAATTATTATTTATCAATACTGAATACTTTTTATTTTTATTAATTTTATTGTTATTTTTATTAATATCAAATTTATTTTCATAATAATTTCTATTTAAATTTTATTTATTTTTATTATTCTCAAAATCGATTTTATCATTTTCATTATTATTTATATTAATTTCATCATATTTTTAAAAATTACTATTACTATTATTATTATTATCTTTATTAATTTTATGGTTTTCTTTTGTATTAAAATTATTATTATTTTATAAAGGTGTTTTTAATGTTGCTTATTCCAATTTTTTTATAGATTGAACATGTTGTTTTAATTAAATAATTTTTTTGTTATTTTCTTGATTGAAATCCTTCGAAATATGTTTTTTTTTCTTAATAAAAATTATTTATTTATTTTTTTATATAGGAGAATTTAATAAGCCGCTTTAAGATATAGAATTAAATTTCTTATTTTACTTTTAATTAATTGTCTTTATATCTTTTTATAATAAATTCATTAATTAACTTTTTTTAGTTCCTTAATTGCATTTGTTACTACTTTGGCTTAACTAACGAGCAGTCTCAATATTAGCCTAATTTGAAATACTATTAAATATATTAAATTATCTGCTTAAATCAGAAAAAGAGTTTTTAGTTGTATTTGGCATTGTTTTATATGATTTTAAACTTTTATTTTCAATCATTAATGGAAATTTTTCTATTTTTTTTATAGCAAATAAGTAAATATTATTTAATATATACTTAAATTTTATGAATGTTTATTTTCAAATACATTTTCGTTTTAATTTGAATGAAGTTTTCTACAAGTTATATTTAAATGTTCTATTATACTTTTTTATAAATAATAATAATATATATATATATATATTAAATATATAATTTTTATATATTTTGTATATTTTATATATTTATGTTTTACTAAGGATCAATCTATTTTTTTATTCTGTATTTTTTTTTTAATTATACTTATCATTTATACTTATTTAATATTTTAGTTTTAATTTTTTAGTAATAAAATATTTTTTTTTTATTATATTTTCAAAAACACATTTAAATATTTATTTTTAGTATTTATATATGTATATATATCATTAGCTTTTATTATATAATTAAATATAAATACTTTAAAAATTTATATTATTCAATATTAATATTTGAATAAAAATGTCTAATTTTTTTTCATTTCATTTACTTTTAAATAACATAAAAATAATAGTTTAAAAAAATATATTATTAATATTTATATATTTTTAAATATAATATATATTTATTATAAAAAGAGAAAAAAATTGTTTCTTATAAAAGATAATAATATATAATTTTTTAATTAAAAAAAAAAATATCATATTTTAACTTTCTTTAAAAAATTAATTTATTTTAAAATTTTTTATTAAAAATTTAAAATAAATTAAATATTATATTTAATGTTTTTAACTTATTAATATATATAAATTCTAAATTTATACTTTCATAAAAACACAATTATTAAAGAAAAATAATAATTATTATCTCAATTTATTATGGAAATTTTTAAATAGTAAAAAATTAAATAAATATTTAATAATTGAATATAGTATATAAATAAAATATAAAATAATTATTTAAGTAACAAAAAATAATATTAATATTTTATTTCATAAAATACAATAATTATTAACATTACTATATTTTTTATGTAATTCTTATTCAAAAACACAAAATAAAAAAAAGATTATTTATATTGGGTTTAAATATTTTTAAATCAAAAAATATAAACATATTTATTATATCTAAATATATATATTATTCAATGGAATATTGTAATAAATAAATTAAAAAATATTTTTTTCAGATAATAAATTAAAAATATAGTCTTTAAAAAAAAAATTTAAAAATAAAATTTAAAAATAAAATAATTATATAAATTTTAAATTAAAAAGTATTTATGAATATATGTTTAATTATTTTAATAACTTATAAAAAAAAATTAATTAAAAATATAAATATATATTTTTTAATATTATGTCTATTTTTTATACCATTTTTATTAAATTACTACTTTTATTTCTCCCTTTAAGCCAAATATCTTTTTATTTAAGATATTATACGTTAAATAATTAAAAGTGGACCCCAACATATTATAAATATGTTATTTAAAAGAAGAAGAAAAATAAATGAAATAAAATATATTAATAAAGAAAAATATATATATATATATATATATAATTATAAAAAATATATAAGTGAGTGAGAAGAAAAAAAAAATATATATATATATAATTATATATGAATGTATATATATATATATACCAGTTTTTTTATATTTTAGTTTATTAATTTTTTTATTTAAAAAAAAAAGGAAAAAAAACTTATTAAAAATAGGAAAAAAAAAAAATAAAAAAAAATAAAATAAAAAAAAATAATAAAAAAAAATGAAATAACATTTATCAAAAACCTAAAACTTCAATAAATGTAAAAAAATAAAAAAGATCAGTACGAAAACTTAAAATAATCTTATAAATTTATATTATAAATATGTAAAATCAAATTCCTTTACATAAACCTAATTAGAAATACTAAAAAAATAAATATACACAATGTCATAAAAGAGTAAAAAAATTCTAATAAATGAATTAGAAGCTAATAATATAAATATCCTTAAAAATACAAAATAATCATAATTAATTATGTGCATTTCTCATGGCAGAACTTTTGGAAAAATTATAAAAAAATGTCCTTCTTGTAAAGTTGGTAAACTTTAATTTGAAGTTGAAGAAGGAAGATATATTTGCATATAAAATATAAGTTATCCAATGTAAAATAATTGTGGATTAGCATATGATTTTTAAGAAATAGAACATTTAAAATGGATATAATTGTGCAATTGACTCTATAATTTTTTTATTTTTAAAATAAAATTATATTTATATATTTATTTTTATATATGCAAAAGAATTTTACTTTTTTTTTTTTTTTTTTTTTTTTTTTTAATAATGTGAAAAATATAATTTATTATTATAATAAAAGACTATTTATTAAATAGAATTTATTAAATATAATTAAAATTTACAATTTTTATATATTATTTGTGTAACAAAAAAAAAAAATATATACATAAAAATAAATACATATATAATTAAAACTTTTTTTTTTTTTTTTTTTTTTACTTTAAAAAAATAAAATGAAAAGCTTCTTAAATATGTAAAAAATAAAATAAATTCTATTATAAAAACATATATTTTAGATTTAAAGTAAATATAAATCAAGATATATAAAAAATTGAAAATGAAAATTTACAAATGACAAATAATAATATTGTTCATAATGTAAATAAAAAAAATATCTAACAGGCATTTATTTATTTTTAAATACAATATTGTTTTATTTGTAAAAAATAAAGATAAATTAATAAAATATACACTAGTCTTAAATAAATATTAAAGAAGAAAACAATTTTTCCTTAGTTTAAATCATATGCAATTGCTTTTTTAAATAAAGGTATTTTTATTTTTTTCTCTAAAAGAATATAAATATATGAATTTTAATTATAGATTTTAAACTGTAAAAAAATAAAGAATTAAATAACTTGGGTAGTAAAAATAGTCTTGTATCGTATTATATTTTAATTTTATATTTTCATTTTTATATATATAAATAAATACTAAAAATTTAAATGTTTTAATTATAAAAAAAAATAAAGGGAAAAAAAACTTTAATTTTAGATTTAGATGAAACATTAGTACATAGTTCTTTTTAATAAATAAATGAATACGATTTTTAATTTGAAGTTAAATTATATTATTTATATATTTTATTTCTTACATTATTTAAATAAAAAGATAGTAGTTAAAAATATTCCTTATTAAATATATGTAAAAAAACGTCCAGGAATACATATTTTTTTACAAAAATTAAGTGAAAAATATGAAATAGTAATATATACTGCAAGTATATCGGAAGTAATTAAAATATATATATAAAAAAAAAACTTTAAATCTAATATTTAAGTATGCAAATTAAGTATGTAATATAATAGATTAATAAGACGTAATTTCTTATAGACTTTTTAGATAACATTGTTCAAACTATAGAGGTAAATTAGTAAAAGACTTAACAAAATTAGGTAGAGAATTAAAGGATATTATAATAATAGATGTATTTATATATAAATATATATGTATTGATATAAATATATATATATATATATATATATATATATATATATATATATATATATAATTAGAACTCTGAAAATTCTTTTTTATTTTAACCTGAAAATTCGATTTAAATTTCAAATTTTTTTGAAGATAATAATGATACTGAGCTAACTAAATTAATACCTTTTTTAATATTTTTATCGGATGTAAATTTTTTTTTTTTAAGAATAAAAATAAACAATTTTTTTTTTAAAAAAGGTTTATGATATAAGATCTACTCGTAAATGGATGGAAAAATATATAAATAATGAAATAATAGACTATATAGATATGAATCATAAAGAATAAAAATATAACCGAAAAATGTATTAAAAAATAAATTAAGAAAATAAAATTCCTTAATAAATAAGCAAATATTAAATATAATCTTTGGATTATTTAAATGGAAACAAGCTTTAGTATTCAGAAGTTAATTTAGAATAATAAGTAAAATAGTAATATTTCAGGAATAAAATATAAAAAAAAGGATATAAATCTAAAACTTGACAGTCAAAATAATAAAACAGAATATAATAATGATTTTAACAGTGAAAATTATGAATATAAAGGAAAAAATTATCCAAACCATATAAAAATTATTTAAAGTAATAAATATTTGTAAAAATCTATTAAAAATAAAAACTTAAATAAAACTTGCCCAAATTTTTATAATTCTAATATGGAATATTAGTAGTTTCTTAAAAATATAAAAAAATATAAAGCTAATTAAACTTATTAAAATATAAGCTAATTAGAAGCAGTTAATAATACATAAAGTAATTTTAAAGAAAATATAGATTTAAAATTGTTTTCTACAAAATAGAATAAATAAAAATATAAATTTTGGGATGATTATTAATAAAAATTTGATGATAAATATATAGATTATTAATTAAATAATAATAAAAAAAACATTTTGAATAAGTAATAAAAATTTTATTAAAATAAAAAAGAGTTTAAAAATTTATATAAATATAGTTGATTGTTTTTAGTATTAAATTTAAAAAAATATTGTATTAAATAAATTATAATATATATTTATATATGTATATTAAAGTTATAAAAAATATTTATTTTTAAATTTCATATTTATATATTTAATATAAATATATTAATTATTTATTTATATATATTATTTTATTAATTTTAGAATTAATTTTGTTTTATATTATGAAAATGGTTTTTATTTATTATTAATATTTTTTATTTTTTAAAATTATTTTTAATTTATAAAAATTTTCATTATATAATTATTATCATACGTCTGAAGTATATATATAAAAATTTATTTATCATTAATATATAAATATATCTATATAAAAAAATTTAGGAGTTAATAAATGAACTTAAAAGTTTATAAAAGACTTGCATAAATTATAGTTTAGTAAAAAATTAACAAAAAAAATGTAAATTAAAATAAAAAGGATTTAATAAATACATCTCCTGAATTATTTTTAGTTGATTTTAGTCCATTAAATAAATAAGTAAAAAGTAAAAACGCATATTTGATTTTTGGTGAACATGCACGTGAATTAATAAGTACTGAAGTAGGTTTAAATTTAGTTAAAACATTATGCCAAACAGGAAATGATTAAATAAATAAAATAAGATAATAATTTAAAATTTAAATAATAGTAAACTCAAATCCTTTATCACGAAAACAAGTAGAAAACGGATACTATTGTAAAAGAACTAATGAAAATAATGTAGATATAAATAGAAATTATGATAGTCATTGGATATATGTAAATATATTTTTATTTTATTTTATTTTTTAAGAAATAAAAAAAAGAATGATTAAAAATATACTAATTCTGGAGAAAAACCTTTTAGTGAAATCGAAACATTAAAAATAAGTGAAATTGGTTAAAAATTAAATCCTTTAATTTTTTTAAGTGTACATTCCGGAACATTAGGTTTATATACTCCTTATGCATATTCTAATAAATAATGTATTTTTTAAAAAAATATTAAATTATAATATATTATATATATATATATATATATATATATATATATATATATATATATATATATATATATATATATATATATTTAAGGCTAATATAATATAGAGAATATGGTTAGAATATTAAAAAATATATAAGATTAATATTGCAATAATTGTTCTGTTGGTGCGGCTGGAAAATAAGTTGGGTATCTCTGTTCAGGAACTTCTATTGATTATTTTTATGAAAAAGGAGTTAAATATTCATTTGCGTTTGAAATTTTTGATTAAAATTAATAAATAAATAATATTTAATTAAGAAAAAAAACACATAAATAATATAACCAATAGCATTCTAAATCTTGTTTTATAAATGATGATTATAATAATTATATGTAAAAAAATATTATTTTTATTTATTTATTTTTTTAATTGAAAATTTAGTGAGGAAGAATGTTTTAATACATTTAATCCTAATAGTAAATATTTATATAAGTATATCTTAAATAATTGGACATAAGTAAATTTTATTTATATTCCTAAAAAAAATAAAAAAAAAATACATTTTTAAATTTAATCTAAAAGTCAATACTAAGTTTACTTGATCAAATAAACTTTATAGAAGACTAATAATTATGAAAAAAAAATATATATATATTTATTTTATATTAAAAAAATACAATTTTTTTTTTTTTTAAATAAAAATTTCTTATAATATAAAAAAAAAAATATTACTGTATATTAAATTAAAAATAAAAAAAAGTCTTTTTTTTTTTTTTTTTCTTCTTTTTTTATTCCTCAAACTTCCAAAATTTCGTCTTAAGCATTATCGAAAATAGTATTTTTTGATTTTTATAAGAGTTTTTATTCTTATTAAATGTTTTATTTTTTTTTCTTTTAAGTTTTTTTCTAACAATAGGAGTTCTTAATTCTTTATCAGTATTATTCCTATACCATATATAATTCAACTTATATCTAATAGTACCTTCAGAAGTCTAAATAACTTTTAGGCTTTTTAAAAAAGGTGAAAATAATTTCACATGCATAAATACTTAAGCCCCACAAAATCTAAATACCATATCAAATCCAGACATAAGTGAATTCTATTTATATCTGGCAGTGCATAATCCAGTTACTGTATTTCCATAACCTTCACTCAAAGATTTTAAATAATGTATTTCAATTACATCCCCTGCTTTAAATTCCGGAATTCGAAATTCCTTTTGTCTCTCTAATGCTAACTTTTCACGTTATTCGATATGCTTTATTAATGCTTTTCCTTTAAGTTATGTAGGTCTTAAAATTACTGGAGGCCATTCGTAATTTGGATCATCCCATTTTAATTGTTTTGGTTTTCTATCGGGATGAAAATGATTAGGTCTTGGTACATAATTATCTATGTAATTTGTTTTGTCAAAAGGACTACGTTAGGGCTTGTATCTGTATACTATATTTGAATTTACTTTGTTAAATAATTGAGTATATTTAAATAATTGGATATGTTATTTTAGATATTATTATAACATTGTTTTAATATATATATGTATATAAAAATCTTTTTATTTTTAATTTTTTAATTTTCATAGGATAAATAAAATTTTTTTATTCATAAAAAAATAAAAATATTTAAAATTTATTTATTTTTAACTTATCATTTTTTTTTTTTATTCATATATAAATAATAAATTCTTTGTTTATAGATTGTAAAAATTATTAATATTATTTTAATAAAGATATTTAAATAAAATATATATATAAATATAAGTATATATGTTATAAATATTATAAATGAATATAAAATATATATTGAAAAATATTTATAATTAATATAATATTTAAAATTAAAAACAAAAAATAAAAAGTTAATAATATATATTATTTATATATTATAAATAAATATATATATATATATATATATATATATATATATATATATATATATATATCAATTTATTTTAATTTTATTTTCTATATTTAATAAAATTGAATTTAAATTAGAGATTAAGAAATTATTATCTTCAGTTGAATAATTTTTTTCTATTTAAATTAGTTTATTTTAAAACACTTAAATGTGTTTTTTACTAACAATTTTTTCCAGGCATTAACAATTATAAGTAATTCTTTAAATAATAACTGACAATCTTTCACAAATATCATGCTTCTGATTATATTTATCAAAAATTTAAACAACAGCCTCAAAAATAAATCCCTAGCTAATTTCCTTAATATAATTTTAAAAACTTTAACCTTCATATGCTAAATTAAGTAATATATTAACGCCTAAATCAACAACAATATATTAATCTATAGATTAATTCATTCTATAGACTAAAACAGGTATTAAACCTGCCTAAATTATATAATTTTTTATAAATTAATTCAAACTATCATCAAAATTACATAAATCACTAAATAGAAATTATAAACTTTAAGCACTTTCTTTATTATTAGTTTATAAAATAAGTATAATTAAAATTATATCTACTCTTGTCATGAGTATGTACTTCTAATTTTCTATTTAAGCAGTATTTTCGTCAAAAATATTTATTTATTGAGAATTTTTTTAATTGTTTTTTTTTAATTGAAATTCTGATGTATCTAAATATTATTTAAAAATTTGTAAAATCTCCCTTTAAATATCTTCATTAATAAAACTTTTATTTTATTTCATTATGAATAAATTTTTAGTAGTAATATTTTTAAGTTTTCGTCTCCAAAATTAAGTCTTTGGTAAAAAAACTATTTCAGTCTGTTTATTAGAATTCATCATTATGTCATTTATATGATCTTATTGAGATTTAAGCAAGTTTTTTTGGCTTTCAAGGGTTTAAAAGTTCAATTTTTGCCTTTTATTAGGCATTTTATTCTATATTTTAAACTTAAAATTAATACAATTAGACATTAAGTTCACTAAGTTGTATAAATCCTTGGAATTTTATTACTTAAGAAGTAAAGAAGGGATTATTTCTAATAAGTCACTCACTAAATTATTAAAAGAAGGATAAAAAACTTCACCTATATCTAATTAAGTATTTTAAAGTTCCAATATATTATTTTGATTAATTTAAGAATTATTATAATCGTTTATTACTAAAGGTAGTGTATATTTAATATTATTAATTATTATTTAAATTATATTCAAAAGTACCTTTATTTCTTCGTCATTAGTTATAGAATTAATAGTTTTTTTTTTTAATATTGTAGTTTTTTTACTTATATCTTATGATATATTTTCCTCTTCAATTTCAGAAATATTATTGTTTTCTTATTTTTACGTATTATTATTGTTATCTTATTTTTATTTATTTTCTTGTTTTTAAGTATTATTATTTTCAGTTTTTATATATTATTATATTATTATTATTATTATTATTATTATTATTATTATTATTATTATTATTATTATTATTATTATTATTGTTTTCTAGTCTTTATAATGTGTTTATTGTTATTTCTTATTGTTTTGATTTTTTTAATACTTTTTCATATTTAATTTATATTGTCGTCGTTTTTTCTTTTTCAAGTTAGTATTTTTTTTCTAAATCAAGTATTTTTTGTTTTGAAAATTCAGCTTATTTTTCCAAAGCAAGAACTTTGGCTTTATATTTATCAACCAATGTATTATTTTAGGTGGAAACTTATTTTATTTCTTTTGCTTTATTTTCAATGATTTTTAATTTATTTTTTAATGTTTTATCTAAAAGAACTAGTTTTTTATTAATTTCATTATTTTTTTCCTTAAAAGCCTCTTCTAATGAAAAAATCATCACATCAAACTCTCCTTTTAAAATATTTTTGAAATTTCTTTCTTTTTCTACTATTGAATCTTCCCTTTCTTTCAAACTTTTCTCTCTCTATAAAATATCCTTACTCTTTTTATCTAAAGCTTTACTTAAGCTATTTATTTCTTTTAAAATCTTCTCATTGGTTTGATTCTATTAAGAAAGTTTCATTTAATCTTCAATTTTCTCTAAAATATTTTTAATTTTACATCCTAACCCTTTTTTTTTAGAAAGAATATTTAAAGCATTTAAAGATATATATTTTTCATTATTAATTATTAGTTTTCTTTATAATATTTCCTCAAATTACATTTTTTTGATTTCCTCAGAAAACTAAATCGTATATTCTTAATATAAAAAGGATAAAAACTCATCAAAATCAATATTTTGTTATTATTATTATTAAAAATGACGTCCTAAAAAGGCTTTTGTTTCCTCATCTTCTATAATTTCGAAGTTTTCTAAAAATCTACCCTTTACATCACTATCATATAACAATATTTAATTATCATCATTATTATTTTATTCACAAATTAAAGATATGTTATTATTGTCTAATTTCTAATAGTTTATACTTTTCGATATATCCTATTCTATCATAAATGAATATTTACTTATTAAAGCACTATTCTAAAACCTCATATTAATCCCAATTAATGACTATTATTATTATTATTATTATTATTATTCAGAAATATCTAATTTAGAAGTTCTTAAAATAGAAGATTAGTTCGATTTGGAACATATTGAATTATTATTCTCAATATTATTTTTGTTGTTGAATATTTTCTTGTCTTCCAATTCTTTTAATTTTCTATTTAATTCTTCTTCGTATGAGGTATTATTACTTATATTACTTTATTGTTCATTTATAGTTTGCCCTTTTTATGACAAAAAAAATGTATCTTATAAAGCTTTTTTGTTTGTATTTGAAAATAAACATTATTTATTCTGTTTTTCTGAATTATACTCATCTTCTTCTTTATATATATTCGATTATTTATCTTCTTAAGTACTTGCTTATTTAATAATATTTTATTAATCTTTCGATATTTAATCAAGGATTTATTTATATCTTTATAAACTAAATTAGAAATCTTCAGGATATTATTATTATTAAGATGATTGTTATTATTTTTGGAATGTTTATTAGTTTTAAGTTTATTATTGATACTATTTTTATTGTTATTGGAATTCCTGTTATTTTTTTATTGATTGGCGAATCCTTTCTTCGTTAAATCGGGGACTTTCAATGTATCCAATATTATTTTAGTTTATCATAAATCGATTGTTTTGGGAAAATGTCATATTTGTACCTTCATTAGAAAATATGTCACTACTTTTGGATTAACTCATTATTATTTATGATTATATTAATTTTTTTTTTTTTTAAAAAAAAAATATATTATAAAAAATCAATAAAATATATAAATCTATTTTTTTTTTTAAAAAAATAAAAAATATATATGTAATTTATTTATTCTTAAATATAAATAAATGCCTTATACATAAGATTTATTTTATTATTTTTTTTAAAAAAAATATATATTATATTTAAAATAAATAAAAGTACTATTTATAAAAAATCAAACGATTTAACAATCAAATAAATAACAAACAAAAGAAGAAGAAAAAATAAAAAAAAAAAAAAAAAATATTAAAAATAAAAAAATCTAACTTTTCAAAAAAAAAAAAAGTAAAAAAAAAATCATAAAAAGCTAAAAAAAAATAAAAAAAAAAAAGAGTAAAATAAAAAAATATGGCTTAATACTTTGAAACATCAGACAAAAGAGGTGAACTTCTTGAATTAGCTTAAGATTTAGGTTCAAATTCTTATGAAAAAAAGAAAGAAGCAGTAAAAAAGATAATAGCTTAAATGACAGTTGGAAAAGATGTATCTCCATTATTCCAATCCGTAATAAAATGTTTAGAATATCCCTAAATCGACATGAAAAAGCTAGTATACTTATACATCATAAATTATTCCTAAAACAGTCCAGACGATGCTATTATGGTAGTAAATCTATTCACAAAAGATGTAAAAAACAAATAAAACCCAATAATAAGAGGATTAGCAGTAAGAACAATGGGCTGTATTAGAGTTCCTAAAATAAATGAATATTTAGCTTAACCTTTAAAAGAAGCCTTATAGGACACAGAGCCTTATGTAAGAAAAACAGCAGCTCTATGTGTTTCTAAAGTATATGAAATTACACCTGATATTGTTGAAAATAATGGACTTATTGATACTTTATAGAATATGTTGACAAAAGAAGGAAATGTTCATGTTTTGGTCAATTGTTTGATTTCTCTTAATGAAATGTCGTATTATAGAGGTACTAATCTAATCACTGTTACTTAAAAAGTTCTTTAAAAATTACTGGTTGCTGTTAATGATTGCAGTGGTAAAATTATATATTTTATAAATATTTTTTATTTTTATTTTTTTAAGAATGGGGATAAATTGTTGTTATGGATTATTTAGTTAATTATATTCCGGAAAATTCTAAAGAAGCTGAAAGGTAATATAAAATTAAATAATATTTATTTATTTAATTTTTAAAAAAAAAGTGTTATAGAAAGAGTTCTTCCTAGATTATCACATATAAATCCTGGTGTAGTGTTAGGATCAGTGAAGGTCATTTTAAAATTTTTAGATTATGTAACATCAGTTGAAATAGTAAAGCATTTAACAGGAAAAATAGCTTAAAATTTAGGTAAATATAATAATTTTTATTATTTTTAATTATATAAAAAAAAAAAAAAGTTTCATTACTTTCATGGAATCAACCTTAAATATAATATGTAGTTTTGAAATGTTCATCTCATATATTACAAAAGAAGCCAGGTTTAATGGAAAAAAACATAAAAGTATTCTTTTGTAATTTTAACGAACCATACTATATTAAGAATGAAAAACTAGATATATTAGCATAAATATGTGATGATAAAAACTATGAATTAGTTCTGAATGAAATAAAAGAATATGTAAATGAACCTGATACAGATTTCGTAAGACGTTCTATAAGCTCATTAGGAAAAATAGCAATTAAATTTGATAAAACGGTTGATAAGTAAAAATTATTTATAAATAAATAAATTAAAATTTAAATATTAAAAATTATAAGTATATATAAAAAATTATATATATATATAAATATATTTATATATTCATATATATTTATTTTATTTAATTTATATATCTTTTTAAATTTTTTATTTTTAATTATAAATTTTTTTTTATATTATTATTTATATATTTATTATATTTAAAATTAAAGAATTTTAGACATATTATTAGAATAAATAAAATAATTAAAAGAAAATCAAAGAAGTTAAGATCCTTTTGTATAGGAAATACTAATTACTATTTAAAAAATATATAGAAAATATCCTTAAAAAATTACTTATCAAAACAGTTTAGATACTATTATTAAAATTTCTGATTTAGCTAATGAAGAAATATCTAAAGCTGCAATTGCTTGGATTTTAGGTACATATGCTGAGCATATACCAAATGTAATAGAATTAATAAATGCTAAAATTTCAAAGTAATTTATTAAATTTTTATTATATTTTAATTTATATTAATTTTTTTTTTTTTTTAGCTTTTTATAAGAACAAAGAGGTGTATAATTAGAAATTTTAACCGCAGCAGTTAAAATATTAGTAAAATACCCTGATGATGGTAAATATTTTATTTAAAATTTACTTGAATAAGCTGCTTATAAGACTGAAAATCCTGATGTTCGTGATAGGTATTTTAAACAAAAAATTTTATATATATATTTTTTATTAAAAAAAAAGAGCGTTTATTTATTGGAGAATGCTCTCTTCAGAGCCCGAAAAAACAAGAGAAACTATTTTATGTAAAATGCCAATAATAATGGAAGATTAATTCATCTACGATACTGAATATTGTGATTAAATGGTAGAAAGTTTAGGTTTACTTTCTGCTGTTTATGGAAAAACTGTAGATGAAATGTTCCCTAGAAGAAAAAAATATTAATAGTATATATATATATATATATATATATATATATATGTGTGTAAATTATATTTTTATATAAAAATAGAGCAAAAGAAGCTTAATAAAATAAAAAAGAAGAAAAGAAAAAACAAGAAGAAAAAATTAAATAAGATAATTAAGATGAATCTCCAGTACCTGAAAAAGATTCCACGAAATTCGCTACAAGCAACTAACCTCCTTTGCAAACTGCACCTCCTTAACAAACTGCTCCTCCTGCCTAAAAATAATTAGATTTATTAGATATGTTCGATGTAGTATCTTAATAATAACCTTAATAATAACAATAACCTTAATAATAATAAATTTAATAATAACAATAAACTAATGCAGGAAATTTATTAGATTTATTAGATAATGACTTAATGTCAATAAATAAACCTGTTTAATAATAACAATAATAGCCAAATGTTTCTAATAATAATGATGATTTTGATTTGTTTGGAAATTCTCCAGAAAAACCAAAATAAAATTAATAAGATGAACCCAAATATAATGTTTTTATTATATAAACATATATATATAAATATATATATATATATATATATATATATATATATATAATATATATATATATATATATAATATAATATATAATTATATATATATATATTAAATCTAAAAAGGTTGTCATAACTAGTGATACAGCCGGAACAAACGGAAAAAAAGGACTTTATTTAGAAGCTGATATATTCAATTAAAATAACACATTAGTATTAAAAATGAGAATTTAGAACTATTCTTAAAATCCCATAAACGAGTTTTTATTGCAATTAAAACCTAATTATTTTGGCCTTAAAATAGATTCTAGTCCTTAAGTAAATGCTTTATAAAACTAAATATAAGAAGTATAAACTACTTTAAGTTTTTCTGGAAATCCAAATCTTTAATAGGTCCCTTAATACCCATTTATACTTGTTTTTGGAGTAAAATCTTCAGTAGATATTTACTATTTTAATGTTTAAAGTAATATTGTTTTCTTATTGAATTCTACAGGAAATATCAGTAAAGAAGAATTCAGAAATACTTGGAAATCAATTCCAGATGATTTGTAAAAGAGCCATAATGTAAACTTACTAAATTAGAGCTTTTTTAATTAAGATAATCTAATTAATAAACTAAAGAGTAATAATATTTATTTTTTGGCTTCAAAAAATAGTGGAAATTAGAGTTAATTTATATTTTATTTTATATATATATATATATTTATTAAAAAATAAAGTTTAAAGTTATTATGCGTCTAGATTTAATAATACTACTATTTTATTTGAAGTTAATATTCCTAATAATAATGATTAAAGTGGGGCTTCGGTTGGGTGTAGAAGTACAGATAATAACTTAGGATAAATTTTTGCTTAGTATGTTTGTGAATTATTATAATGAATTTTATATTAATAATTCCTTTTTTTTATATCAAAAAAAAAAAAAGAAAAAAAAAAAGAAAGAAAAATATATATTTTTTTTATTAATATAAAAAAACAAAAAATTAATAGCCCTTTTTTTCTATTATTATTTATAAAATATATAGGTTTTTTTTATTATTATTAAAAAAAAAAATACGTTTAAACGATTAATTAATATCATTTGAATTACAATATCATATTTATATAAAAAATACTACATTTTTTATTTAGTAAAAATAAAAAAAAATGCATTTACAACTTTAAACAAAAAAAAATATTTAATAAAATACAAAAAATCAAATATAAAATTCAAAAAGCATATTTAAAATCTAATAAGAAGATTATAAATAATAAAACCTATATTAAAATATAAACTTAAACTATTCTTAAATAACATTATAAAATAGTATATCAAAAAAAGAAAATAATCCTAAAATTTAAAAGTAAAAAAATAATGAAAAGTCTCTACCTTAATAGAATTTATTAAAAAACACATCTTTAAGTAATATTCAATATTTTCGAAATAATTAAAACAATCAAAACATTTTAAAGCCTTCTTAATTTTTACAAATAAAGCCTATAAGCTAATCTGTAGATTAAAATTCTGAAAACACAACTAATCTAGACATTTCTATTTAAAAGAAATAATCAAATAGTTTAATAACTAAAAAATAAACACAATAAATATAATAATATTAATAATAAAATTAAATGTAAACATAATATTAAGGAAAAACAATAGAAAATTTAAGCCTAATAAATAAATAAAACGAAATAAATTAACTAAAAATCAATTATAAAAAAATAAATAATAAACTTATATAAGAAAAATAAAAAAATAAAGTTTTAGAAATCGAAAACAGGAACTTTCGAAGTACAATAGATAAATATTAATTATAATTACAACAAATAGACTAATAAATGCAAAAAATAAAAGGTTTATAATAAATAATTTAATAGGAAAAATAAAATACTTAATAAATAATATTTCTAAACGTTAATAGAAATGAAAAAATATAAGTAATTCTTAAAAATCTTATATAAATAATTAATATTATACATTAAAAAATCGAATTTTCTAATATTTAAAATTGCATGAAAACTCTAAAATTAATTTCTGATAATTTTTCGCCAATTTTATAATGTTTAAATCCACTTTTATTAGAAATAAAAAACTTTAATTAAAATTTAGAAAATTAGTTTTTCATTTCTTAAAATATAAATGATTGTTCTTTATTAAAAAAATAACAAAAATATAATAATAATGACAAAAAATTCAATATTTTCACAAAAGAAAACGATTTCAATAATGTTTAATATATAAATAAATAATTAATATATAACAATCAAGATAATAAAAGCGAAAGTATATATAATTAATTAAATAATAGCTTAAAAATTTCAGAAAGTAGTTCAAACCAAATTAATAAAAGTAGTAATATCTTTGGAAAACTCTCAGATTCGAATTCTTAATTTGAGTCTTATCAAAATGGTATTAAGTTAAATGAATAAACAGGGACTTTTTTAGAGTCTAAACTTGAAACTTTTGGAAATTTATAAAAAGAATGTAATTTAATTTAAAATACAGTTTTTAATGATACTTAGTAGTCCTAAAAGTTTTTTGGTGAAACAATTAAAAATCTAAATGAAACTTTAAAAAATCTAGAAAATAATAATCCTATGAAAGGTTTTGAAAAAGGAGATTTTATTTTAAATTAAAAATTCGGAAATAAATAAAAGGCTAGTAAATAAGCTTCTAAAAGTTAAAAAAACTCAGTAAAGAAAAGTTACGAAAAATTAAATAAATCTATGTAAGATAATTTATTAGATGATCTTTTTTTTTAAATTTATTGAAAAATTTTTTTGTTTTGTTATTTTTTTTATTTTTATTAATTGTTGTATAATTTATTATTATAAGTGTTGGTAGAGTAATGATATAATAATAATAATAAAATTAATATAGATCATATTATATAAATAAATATATAAATATATAAATATATATATATATATATATATATATATATTAAAAAAAAATAAGTATATTATTAATATATTTTTTTCTTTTATTTTTTATTAAAAAAATATGAAAAACTGAATTTCTTAATTAAATATTTGACAATAAGAAATCTGTATTAATAAATCCCATTAAAATAATTAAAATTTTATTAAAAAAAAAATATATATATAATTATATTTCTTTAATAGATGATTTAAATAAAGTTAGAAAAAATTAAAATTAATTTATTATTATTAATATCTTTAAAATAATAAATAATAATAATAAAATATTATTATTTTTTTTTATAAAAAAGATAAATAATATAATCATTTATATGTTAATATACTAATAATTTATTTTTTTAATATAATTATATAAATATTTAGTTTAGAGTATTATATAATTAAAATACTTGTTTCAGCAATTTAAAAAAACTTCAATCAACAATATTTTAATCAAATTTTCTAAAATAATAGAAAAAATAATATTTTAAGAATACTAAAATAAATATATATATATATTTAATATTAAATAAAAATACAATTATTTAATTAAATAAAAATAATTATAATTAATATAAATAAATATTATTAAATTAATAATAACATTATTTTTTAATAAATAATTAAATATAAACATAACATAAATATATTAAAAGTAATAAAATAATTTATTTAAAAATAAAAAATAGTCAAATTTAATTATATATAAATAAAATAAAATAAGCATTATAAATAAAATTAGTATAATGTTTTAATGTATAAAAATTTATAAATTAGACTTATATATATAAAAATATTTTACAACTCTTTTTATTAAAAAAAAGAAATATAAAATGTAAGTATAATCAAAAGGTTTTAATAAACAAATATGATAAAAATTATATAATAATAAATATATATATATATATATATATATATATATAAATTAAATTTATTTTTTTAAATTTTATCTTGAAAACATATTATAGAATAACTTATATTTTTCATTTATTTTTAAGTAATTTTAAATATATTAATATCACATTATATATAATTTATGTTATTAAATAAATAATAATTTTTATCAATTATTAATCTAAGCAAAAGCAAGATGAAAATAAAATTTGTAATTCCAATATATTATTTATTGAATTTATTTATTTAAACAAGTATAATTTATTAAGAAATAAGATAAACATGTACTTAATGTATTTTTTTTTAATAAAAAAATTATATAAATTAAAAGAAAAGTCATACTTTTATAATAATATACATGTAATTTTAATTGTTAAAAATATTAAATACCCTAAGTTATTTATACTTTGCTTTAATATTAATGTTAAAAATGTGATATATACTTTTTGATTTCTATAACCGTAAAGAAAATACACAAGATATTTTTCTATATCAAAGATACATTAAAATGCGAACCGTGTAACGGACACTGTTTAAATTGTCTCTAAACAACTCTTAAACTGTATTAAGTGAGATTTTCTTAAATAGGCACTAAATTTATTAAATAATATGAAGTGGCAATTAAATAATAACAGTTTATGAGTTTTTTTTATAGAATATTTTAATTATACTCCTGCTTATATTAAAGAAGTTGGTCCTTGCATAAAACGAAATATTATTTATTTAAAATATATAATAGATGTAGCAAATGTAATAATAATAAGACAAAAATTTTAAATAAAATAAATAATAAACGAGTCTTAATAAGAATTATAAGTATATTTCTATAGAATTTCGTTATTATAGAATTTTATAATAATTAAAAAACTTAATGGTCTTATAGAAGAGAATGTAAAAATTTGTAATAATAATTTTCATTACTA